CCTGCTGTTCCGTGAAGCTAGGAATATCTACTTCATCACCAATAATTGAGAGCGTCGGTTCGACATAACTATCATCGTGGCAGAGTTCGCCAAAGTAGCGATTTAATCTTGTAAGTGATGCATTATCTAAAGTAACTCTTGATGTCGATGCATTTCGCTGAGAAATATCATTCGTCTTTCTCCACCAAGTTCTACCTCCCACCAAGGCCCTAAAATTTCTTCTGTTTAGACAAATGACATCAGAAATCCTTTTGTTAATTAAACTGAGTCTATCCGATGTAAAAAAGATATCAGGGATGGTCTCAGCAACGCCAACGGAGGATATTCGCTGGCAACTTTACATCAATGAAATCCATGGAAAGTCGAATAAAGATATTTCAGACCAGATCAACACCGCCCTTATTGAACCCATGCAAAATTACCAACCACTTGACTGTCTTCCTTCTATTGACGAAAATTCATAGGTCCTAAAGCTTGATGATTATACAGTGTACTCAGCATTAGTAACGCTTAACCCTCGCAAAGCGTCTGGTCTCGCAAACCCTGTTTGTGGTATCCTAAACAGCTCATTTGCCGAACAAGCGCTACCTACATCATGGAAATACGCAAACATTATACCTAATACCAATTTAACCTGAATTTTGACCAACCTACAAAATTAAACGGCAAAAAATAAACAAGAGATAACGTTCAACATCAGTTTCGAAAATATGCTTGTCTGTCTGTCCATTTTTCAGGGGAAATAATTAAGCTTCAGCGATATTTTTGAAATGAGGGGGCGGGCAAACATGATTTTGTATTGCGCACACATGATTTCAATTGTTCCCAAGATTTTACAAGCTTTTCAATCAACCTCGTTCCCAGGGTCTTTCTCAAAACGGCGCGAGGTGAAGGAAAGATCCTGGCTGTAGCTGATCACGTGCCTCGTCAAATTTAGCGCCCGAGTGGGTATGGGGAAAGTATCAAATTACATGCTTCCAATGTTTAAAAGTTAAAAACATAAATTTTGCGAATTATTAAGTTTGAAAATACTTACCTAATTATTATAATACCTAATTTTGTTTATTTTATTTGCTTTAAATTTACAAGAACATTATTACATTTTTACTAACAGTCAAGTGAAGAAACCAAGCAAATCGTTACTGGCAGTGCTCTCTCGTGTTGTTATTCAATGCTTTCTTCACACTCGAACGCGGTTTTATAACAAACGTTTATGGGCTTTTCAGTGGTCATCATTTCTACATATGTAATGTTTTTAAAATACGCCAATAGATATGTCATTTCTTGAAAACGTATATATGCTTTGCACCGATTTACTTGTTACTGGTAGGGCGTAACATGACTCTATCTGCCATGAAGTACTTGTGGCGCACGGGACACCACGCATATTCGAACACACGAATCACTGACATTCACTTGGCTTGGGTGAATTTAATTTATCAAAACATTCACTTGGCTTGGGTATATTAAGTTTATCAAACGAATTTAGTGATTATTATATAATATTCATAGAACACACCATGCAACACACAAAGAGTGCAAAATATTTAAATATCATAATGTACATGTACGTAGATAAAACCATTGCTATGAACGGATGTAGATATGTCAACACTTCCTCACTTAGCATTCCAGTTACATTGGTAATGATAATCAAAATTTTATCGCCTACCACATGAAACTACCAGAAATTCATAAATTAATAAGAATCATAGAATCAAGAAGACTTAGTTTTCGCAGTCTTTGTTATCGAGGTCTTAGATCTTTGTTCATTTGTTGTAGTGACCACGCCACAGTACATAATTAAACTAACTATTAACCATATATGATTATGGATATCAGACAGTTGAGACGAAAAAAGAATAGATAAGCACAAAGTATAGGGGTGTGTAGAATACGAACAACTACAAGCAAGAAAGTAGTTTACAGACATGCAAGCAAATTTTCTATGAAAAATTTTCATCTTTGACCTTTCATTCCAGCAACCAGGCCACCCCACTTGTGAGTGTTATATAGAGAAATTTTCATCCGGTAAGCGAGCTGGATCTTACCACTCTCAAATGAGATCTGGCAGCCATTTTACTATAATTACAGAACACAACAAGATCTGGCTTACTGCTAAACGGGCTGTATATAGCCCGGCTTCCACTAAGGTAGCTACAGTATCGCTCAGAAATAACCTAACACTGCGTTCGCGTTCCAAACGCGTTCCGAACGCGGTTGGAACGCGGAAAGAGAAAACTTGGAAACGCCTTCCCCACTTTGGCTACGACACCGAATGAAACATGAGCTACTGTAGGTTTTGACAGTTGACAACTATGAACAATTAATGTCAAGCTTCATCCCGGGCTGAATACCAGCCCGGTTTGACCCAGACTAAAACTCGACACAGTCCGGGCAGCATGTAATCACAAATAATTTTAAAAAATCGTCTTAATGGCTTTGTTTAGGGTGTTGTTTCAACTGTATATGTAACCATAAACACACAAATCAAATAGCCGAAAATGCTTCAAATCCCGATCGTGTCTTTCAACCCGAGCTAGAAAGGTCTGTGTTGTGCACAGGCTACATTTCAGCAATTTAACAACATGGGATGAAAATAGTTCCGACTAAAACTCAGCCGCCTCAAACTGCTCACGGGCAATAAAATAGATCGCTATCAAACGTGCTGAAGCAAGCGTATCATGTAGCATACTTGCTACAGTTTATTTTAAATTGTCGCCGCTTGTGTAATTTTTTACGCATAACTAAGTCATTACACATGATTATAAAGTATAAACATTTACAATTAGTCAAAATACTAGTTACAGTGACATTTTTGACTGCCCAACATCTCGGGTCGATTCTATAATAAGTGCATGCTTGCAATATACATTTACTAACAATCGTACCAACTTATATGATGATGTTTCCTTTCTGTGGCACGCAATACACGCATATCAGCAATAAACATCGCTTACGTATTATTGTTGCATGAGTTAAGATTGAACTTATCTGTATTTCTAGTCTACAGGATGGCTAATAAACTGGACGACCTCCTTACCTTGTGCTTTTTCCGGTATTAGTTTATCCATTTAAAACTCCTCCTGTGATCACACAAACTTTGATAGTGTATATTAGGGAGTGGTCATTATTTATGGGGAGGGGGGGTTGGGAAATGGGGAAAATAAGGATTGAAAACATTTTTGACCTCCCCCCACCACCAGACTGAAGCCAAACTTTTTGTGCCTCCCTCTTCATAAAAGTAGAAACTTTTCTGACCCCCCCCCCAGTGTGGATTGAAAAATTAACAGCAATGAAACAGGTGTGCGTTGCAGGTAAAGTTAGATATTAGGACAATCTGTTTAATCTAGCTCATGATGTTTTACCCTGGTGAATATGATTCAACCATATATGATTAAAAAATATATATTATGTGTTACTACTTTGCAATGCAACATTTGTCCTACCATAACCCTAACCCATGACCCGTCTTCATACAGCGAAATGATTTGAACACAGGGTTTTTTTAAGAACTTGTCTGGGGGGTGGGCATCTACAAAAAGGGACCATACTATATTGAGTGTGGAGAGATGACAGATGGTTGTTGGTGACAAAAAGTTTGGTGTTGTATCGTATGTACTAGTAGGGCGGTCTGGGGGTATTCTCCCCCAGAAAATATTTTGTATTTTTCCACCCCTAGAACTGAAATGTGAGCATTTTCTGAAACAGATTTTTGGATGTACAGCGTTACATTGTGCGTTGATAGACCGAATCTGATCAGTTAAGTGTACTTGCATGGTATGTTTATGTAAATACCACAACTGGGTCACTCAGGGGGTAGAAAGTTTGTTAAACCCTAGTGGGCCCGACTCCCACGATCGCGAGGCGCTACCATGGTTGGCACCGAGCAGGGAAATTTTGAAAATTTTGAGTCTCTAGATCGTTGGAAATAGCATTTTCAGAGTCTTCTTTTTTGCTATTTGTGATTATAGAAATCAGAACTCTAGACATGGTATTTAAGTTCAAAAACTTTTATGACCCCCCCTTTCTCTATGCTAATACTTTTTTGACCCCCCTATTTATAAGGGTAAAACTTCTTTTGCCCCCCCCCTCCCATTTCCCAACCCCCCCTCCCCATAAATAATGACCACTCCCTAAGCTGTAGTTTTCCTTGTACAGTATTTATAATGTAGTGCAGATGTCTGATAAAATACTACGCGTATTACATTGTAGTAATATTTTAATTTACAATATTCTATACTGACAAATAAAAGCAAGACAAACAATTAAATGAAACTACTAAATTAATTTAGGCCCGGTTTACTTAATAGCTCTACGCCTAGGCCGATGTAGTCTCTACAAGATTCGTCACGCCACCGAGTTTTACAGTTTCAGAATACCCCGAATACTTGAAAATTGCGATTATACGATAAAATAAAACAAAGATTGTGAAGGGGATAAAATTTGTAGGTAAGCATTGCTCCTGAACGGCAAGTGTTGGTGTCCGGCGAAACAAGCGAATCCGTATATTCCTGTACAGCGTAAACAGGTTACGCGAGGTTTTATATTTGTGTTTATTTATATCGAACTAAGTCAGATCTATAAGAGCATATTTAAACTAAATATTAAAGGCAATAGCCATATTGTTCAAGACGAGAGAAAGCAAATTTCGTGTGAATCACCACTTGCACGGAGACGCCTAGATGCAGCTTGGATGCAGCTTTGCCTGTGGTTGAAAATCTCCAGAAATATCGGTATATCTTAGAAAACATAGACGGGGTCTTCAGAGATTTCAGCTGATTCGTGCCAAACTTCGCTACACATAAATAATATCGATTGAGAAGTCTTTTGGCTGTTTATCTGTTTCGAAGACTTGTATATTTCATTAAAGAATATCTCGCAACTCCTTGACGAGTAGCTGTCAAATACTGCCATTTTTTGGGTAGTCACGTGACCGGCCCAGACCAGGGCTTTCTCGTCTCTCCCCTCGTCCTCATACGAAAGCCCTGGGAACGAGGTTGGGTGCAACGATATTGTTCTATATTGTTGACAACTGTGAACAATGTGGGTAGCAAAACATTGTTCTGATCGTTTTTAGCCGTGTATCATAGCTACCTCGAAATCCTTTGTTTCGCGAGGGACGATTATTAATGACCAAATTATCTCATTGCTAAAACATGAGGGACGATTAGAAACTAATCATCCCACGTGACGATTAGTTTCTAATCGTCCCTCATCTTTATGCACAAATCTCTTAGGGCGCAATTCCAGTCCTCGCACGAAGCGCCTTGCAGCTCGCTGCGAGTGCATGCATGAGCACTTTCATCCAATCACAATGCTTAAGAGTTAATTTTAATTAGAAGCAAGCACTCGCAGGGAGCTGCGAGGAGCTTCGTGCGAGGACTGGAATTGCACCTTAATACAGGGTGTCCCAAAAAAACGCAAAACCATTGAAATAACTTATTGTTAAAATTTGAATGCCCTAGCACTAAGCTGAACGCAAAGATGTGCAAAATATTGACAGGGTGCAAAAATTAAATATTGACTTATTAAGGAATTTAATCACTAATGCCCTGAATGCCATGCTATTACTTATAATAAGTCGTTCATTATAGTGATTTAAAGAATCCTCAAACTTTGTATAAACTCGGCTAGTGTCTTATTTTTCAACACACGTTTTGAATAAATTACTAAACTCCTTCTTGTGTATGATATATAAATTAACAAGTGCACGACATGCACGAGTGAGTTCTACAAAGATTATGAAAATTGTACGAGAAATTGTCCTATTTCTAATGAATAAAATTACTAAAAGCGTTTAAATACTGTTTTGTTTACAACTATTAAGGAAGCTGATTCAGAAATACAAATTTGTTTGGTCATTTTTGTTTTGATGTGGTCATTTTTGTTTTGCTATGGTATATGCTAAAATTCGCAATCGGTGAACATCCTTGCACTATCCACCTCATAGATATCTTATATACACTAGATAGCGCATCTCTTTTAGTAAAATTGAAGCCAAGAATATTCAAGCGGTTACCCCCATTTGAATAGATGGCGGCCATGTTGAATTACTTTAAACAACAATAACTTTCACCATTTGAACAGTTTGAAAATGTGTTTGGAATAGGTTTAACTTAATGTTTGAGTTCCCTGTTTAAGAAATAGAAAACATACGAGTCTTCTCATTTCATGGGAATATCCTGAGTCTGCAATCACGGCTTCAATTTTTGTATTGCAGAATAATTAGATGCACTATCTAGTGTATATAAGATATCTATGATCCACCTCCACTTCGGTGAAAAATTGTTAACTGTAATAATAATATAAGTATATGAAAAAATAATAAGATGAAGAGTATTTTCATTAAAATAGTTTGTGTACATGCAGGTAGGGAAAAATACCAATGTGTCTTTGTACTAGTACCTTGAATTTGCACCCAATGTCACAATATTTGCATGGTACAATAGCCAGTGGACAGTCACCATCAACATCAACATGACTGCTCATCTAAGGAAACAAGAATTGTTCATCAGTGCATGTAGAGAAAACGGGTAATTGCCGTTCAATCACCAAACAACAGGTATAGTATACAGCTATTTCAATTGGCAATTCCAGCTTTCAGTTTATGCCTGCAGGGGATGATGGGAAGTAAGGTATCATAGTGCTGATTATGCTGAAAAATTTCAATAAAAACTACCGAAACAACCGAAATATTTCAATATTTACAGGAATAAGCTATCACTCCATGTTTACACGGCCACCATTTCTATTTTTTCAGCATAATCAGCAATATGATACCTTACTTCCCATCGTCCCCTGCACGCATAAACTAAAAGCTGGAATTGCCAATTAAGGTTGTCCACGAGCAAAGCGGAATAGTCGAATACGAGCGCGAAAGGCTGCTGGGAACCGCTTTGAAAATTCATTAATTTAAACATAAATTAATGAATTTTCAAAGCGGTTCTTCGACTATTCCGCTTTGCTCGTGGACAACCTTAATTGAAATAGCTGTATACAATCAACAGTACTATTACAATTCTGCTAAGAAGTTGTAGGTTCCAGTACTCACTTGATCTCGAGGGATGTCAGTTCTGCCACATTTATTGACACACGATATTGGAGAATGCTTACACACATCCAGATGAGTCTGAAGGATAATCATAAATAAAGGGCTACACGAGGCAACTTTTGCTGCAACTTGCAATGCAATTTATGACATTTCATTTATTTTAATAAAAAGGATAAAAACACATATATTCAGCTTTCTACTATAGTCTTTCAAAACATGCTTTGGAAAGTTCGCTAAAGTCTTTGTTCTATCTTTTTGTTCACGTTTATGCAGTTTTGTGCACGGTGCACGGTCAATGAACACATTGTATTTCAGTATAATGAACGAATCATCCAATAGCAACGTTTCAGTCAGTCATTCAACCATGCTATTTAAATATTAATAAACCTAAAACAAAGGATGTGCACGGTGTAAGGTACGGCTCAACATAAAATCCCAGCTCATTAAAACCGTTTTGAAGTTTACTGAGTTTCCAGACCATGTCTCGAAAGACTTATGTTTCTACACACTAAAAATAGGTCTGGAGATCGTACTAGTTTCGTCCTTCGGACTTTTTCAACTTATCACCATTTTGTTTGTTGTTGTTATCATGCTATCTAAAACGTAGTCGCAGAAAAATCCTGAGCATGGCCTACGTTTTACTCTGCCAACATTTTTCATTCCATTTCTTTTATTTTCATTCCTTAGGAGTGAATGTATGTTATGTTATCAGGTTTTTTTTCTCCGGATTTTCTCTTGGGTCCGTTTTTGCAGAGAAGATTGAGTTTAGTTGAACAGCTGGGGGTGGCTGCCCCTACCGGGGGCTGACACCTGTACTCAATAAATGTAGTTGAGACGTAATGTGTTAAAGCAGGGGCACTAAGGGACACTATAAACTGGTTAAAGATGGCGAATGCATAGTTTTTCTTGTGTTGTGAGATGAATTCCAGCCATTTTTTCTTAATTGTCGGGTTTCCAACTGAAAACTAATTTTCACACGTCACGAATTTAACTCAAACAACTTTATTTTTACTGCACTGAAACTTTGGTGAGAAGATTGAGTTTCAAAACTCAATTCAAGATTGAGTTTTTGGGGCCGTTTAACGGCCCTAAAAAATCCCTGAAAAAAACCCTGGTTATGTTATGTTATGTTATGTTATGTTATGTTATGTTATGTTATGTTATGTTATGTTATGTTATGTAATGTACAAAAACGTCGGCAGAGTAGTACGAGGGCCATGCTCACAATTTCTCTGGGACTATACGTTTTAATAACTTATCTCTGTATCTGAAATTGTGTTGCAAGAGAAAAGATTGTCTCGTGTAACATGTCCTTAACATATTGTATATTTAACAAATATAAAACATTTTCCGTGTTGATTTAGCCTACAGGGTGTCCCAAAAACCCCGAAAACTATTGAAATAAATGTATTGTTAGAATTTGAATGCCTCAGCACTCTGCTGAATCCACACGCGCATCAAAGCTTGACGTAAGTAAATTTTATGCATAAAGAAACCGTTTAAGAAGCTGTTTTTTTAATTCCCAAGAGCAGAAAATCGGGCGCTTTACAAAGATATTGTAATTTCTTAATAAGTCAATATTTAATATATGCACCTTTGTCAATATTTTACGCATCTTTGCGTTCACTAGTGCTAGGGCATTCAAATTTTAACAATACGTTATTTCAATGATTTTGCGGGTTTTTTGGGACACCCTGTACAGTTTTATCATCACGAGTGGAAATTGGGAAAACGAGAAATTGTGTGGAAACACGACGCCCAAAGGGCGGAGTGTTTTCACACAATTTCGAGTTTTCCCAATTTCCACGAGTGTTGATATAATTACTGTATATCAATACGGAAAAAATGTTTTATATTTGTTTTATAATATAGCACAAAGAAACATAAAGAAATAAATTTTCCGACGTTTCCGTGTTGACATTTGAGTTATATCAACACAGCTCTTAGCCATTAATCAGCGTTCAGAATTTACAAATGCTATATTATAAAAGTATTTGTCATTGAACGAAAAGACCAAAGTGATCAGACATTTCATGAAATACTGCAAAATCTCTGTTTCTTCAATTCCACATCATGTCAAAATGTTTGGGATCAATGCCATACAAATTTGCTTTAATTACAGTATATACAGTAGCATATTAGGCTTCCAATCCATGCTTGTAAAAACAATATTAAAGATTACTTACAAAAATATCAGCTACTGGGGAACAGTTACTTTTATGTTTAAAATGTTTGTTAATGCCTACTATTTTTTTACATGTGAAATCAGATAATGTACATGTCAACTGAAATTATTTTTAGATGGTAATGGATGATTTTGAAACAGGTACAAGAACAGATTACATACTGGTAAGTTTGCCAGTTCACCAGACCATTCACATTCACTGCCATAATTCTGACATTTCACTTCAAGAGAATTAATTGTTCGTTTGCAAGCTCGGTCAGCATAAACCTGAAAAAAGATTTATTGTACAATGCCAATAGTCTGAAACAGTTTTTCGAGTTGTAGTGTCAACAATATCTATTGTCTACTCTCTGCCTCAGAGAAACTCAGACTATACCCCCTGTGCATCAACTTTATCCCTTAAGAGCACAGAGTAATTACGCACACATGTCAAAATTTTGTGAACTCTCTTTGTATGTAAATAACATATTCCAAATTATATTCTTTCATCGAAGCAATCAATTCGCAAGTTTTCCTGGTGCAGGAAATTACACCTACACACAAATTGCTAATAAATCTATCGCAAAATCAGCAGAATAATGAGAAGTGACTGACTAATATCGGGTTGATTTTTGGCCCTTCATGTACTTGTTCATCTACACTTGAAATTACATTTCATAGGCCTTGCAATTTAGAAAATACAAAACAATAGACACTCCCAAACAGTTAACATTTTTATTCTATGTTTTGACTGAAGCCTATAGTTTAGGCATGTTGTAAAATACGGACTGGACCGGGAAAATGCAGACTCAGTACGCGATTTGTAAACCACGGACTGAGTCTGCGTTTTACAAATCGTGGCAACGTTTTTGTAATACACGGACTCAGTTCAGTGCTGACTTTGTACTGACTCAGTCGTGAGAGTTTTGGCCGGAATTGCAGCGTAATTCTGTGACACATGTTACATCATGACGACATTTATAGTGTGCAATGTTCGCATGCGCCTAACAATTTATATATAGAAGAATTAATACAAGAAAAATATAAAAATTAATAAAACTATTTATGTTCAATGTTAAAAAGTCTAAAAAATTATCTTATAAATAAGCTTCCTTAAATAAATAAACTAGTAGACCAGAATAGTATACTTGTCAAAGAAAAACTGCCATGTCACTAAAATTGTCTGTATAAATGACATGTCAAGAAAAATACGACAAATAGAGAATTGTTCCAGCTTATATTGGCAAATAAAACTTGTCAAGGGAAACTTGTTAAAGAAAAAAATATTTACCATTTTTACCATGAGCAAGTTTAATTTGGCAAAAGAAAATTGCTCGTGTAAACTAGGCTTAATTGTATGTAATTTTATAGCAAGGGCAGTTTTATTAAATGAACAGCATTTTTGTGAATATTTTTGTGCAAAAAGTAGACCTTTTTGACATTTTTATTGGAACTTTAGCAGGTAAATAAGATTTCTAATATTTTTATGCTGTTACTGTGATATTTTAAAATGTTTTCACTGCTTTTTTTGAGAACCAAACATTGTTTTGCACGACAAATCATTGTTTGTCAAATTAATGAAAATGCAATGTAACAAAATTATCAAGGTCTCAGTAAGTGTTATTAATCTTGCCTTCGGCTCCACTGATATAATTTTAAACATTTACCTCAACCTTTATAATTCTGAAAATCACAAAAACCTTATCCAATGTTTATCATTGTGCTGAAGGCACAGAAAAAATTTAAAATTTGGATCCCAGAAATAGCATTTGCAGCATTCTGAGAACACATTTTGTAAAAAACTAGGTTTTCAAAACACTGTTTTAATGGTGCATTTAGTTATAAATCACATGCCAAGGATAGAAAACCAACATTTCAGAGAAAATATTTACATGATTATTAACATTTGTGAATGGAATTGCAAGGTGGTAAGGTTTAATTAAATTAACATGCCAATGACAATGTAAAAATTTATTCGCTAAGTGAGTGAAATTTATTTGCGGTGCCAGCTTTTGTTTTTGTTAACATAATTAAAATTGCAATGTTAATTGAATTATCCATTGTTTTTGAGCATAATAGTTTAATATGCATTCAAATAAAATTGTGCAGCAGAAAATTTCGCTGCTAAACAATAGTATAAGCTTCAAAAACAACAAAAAATCAACAATGACATTTAAAGAAGTGCCTGTTGCAAAAAGTTGTCCCCCTAGTATCTGTCGAAAAGAATGTATAAAATGCGTATGTTGTGATATGTACAGTACAAAAACATATATTACTATATTGTTTGGTATATTGCTTACTGTTTTAGCTTAAAGTGGAAGTCAAGTCTGTTATGTAAACAAACGGTTTGTTTTCATTTTAGTGCTGTATTTTTATTAAATATGATGTACTGTCTGAATATCTAACACCATTTTGGTTCGCTATGCTTCTAAATGAATATGAAATAGAGTTTATGTTCAGAAAAATTCAAAACATTCGAAATTTGGGCAATGTTTACATTAGAGCTCACATGCTCACATTGTTATGAGCAGAACCGATGCGCAGAACGGACTTTCATGACTTCCACTTTAAGTTTTATCAAATAGTTATTATTTAATATGACAATTACGTTATATGAGTGTGATTGGTGTTATTTGGTACAAGATTTTCAGTCTTTCAAAATTATTGGGGGGCTTGGGGCCCCAAGAGGGAACAATGTTTCCTACCGTATGACCGTATTTGTTTAATACATTAAATTAAAATGAGTTTTGCAATTTATGAACAAGAATTACTATGTTCAAAATCTCCATGATTAATGAGCAAATGGTTAATAACTTAATTTGTTTCACTCCACGCAAACATGCGGGCCGTGCATGCGATATTTTAACTTTTTTATAATCGTTAGACGGCTTGTTTATATTGAAAGAATTTTATTAAAAACAAAGAAAAGAAACCGTTACTTTGATTATTAATCCATTGAGCCGCAATGTGCCCTACTTATTTTTTTTACTGGTCTAATGCCAGAAATTCTACTCGTCAATGGGGAAGCTCCGCAGCTTAATGGGTTAAACATCCTTTTTATATTTATATAAATATGCACACTTCATTTGAGTCTGCACACTTGCCATTTTTCATTTGCACACCCAAGATCTTGGCAAAGTCTGCATGGATTAGCACTAATCCATGAACAATTGGCCCCAGACATTCATCAACAAAATTCAGTACCATCAGGCATTAATGATGTGTTAAGCTTGGAGCAAAATTACACAACATACGCTATTTAAGCATTAGCGTCAACGTTTTGCAGTAATTTATTATTTTGAAATTTATTGTTTTATATCATTTTATTTTAAGCATAATTTTTTTGTCTGTACATGTACATTTCGAAAAGAAAATACAGAAGTAATTATAATGTACAAACTACAGCACTATATTGCTAATAAAACCTTCGAACAATGGCATACATCAATAATATTATCTGGAAAAAAATCAAAATATTTCAATTGAAATTTGAAACTAAAAACAAACCTTTTCTCTAGTGAGTGCTCGTCTATCTAGTGGACAAAACGATCCATTTTTCCTGGAATAAATACAAAAATTATGAAACAAGAATTACAGTGCAAACATCGTCAAATTAATGATTAAATAGAACAAATTTCTGACCTCAGAATCGGCTCTAAACAACTTTCACAAAATCGATGGCCGCACTCTGTAGTTTGCACTGGATCTCGACAAACTAACTGACATATAGGACATATGTAGTCTGGGGGGATGGCAGAAACAAATTCTACATCATAACCGCCAATAAAAGGTCTTGGAGCTGTAGAGAAGTTCCCTCCACTTGCCAAATACGCTGTGCTTTGAGAGGGAGGCCCTCGTTCAGTCGCCATCTTGGAGCGATAAATTATTAATTAATATTCAGTCGACAGAGATGCAACATTATCACAGACATTATTCAGCAAGTTGATTATTCAGTTCAGTGATCAGGTTTCTCACACGTGATCACTTCAGGTGGCACGGGGGCGGTATAATACCACGATCATTGACAGTAAAACAGATTGAAAGACTGCAAAGTACAAAATGTTATATGAAATCCTGTAAGGCCATCTTACACTCTTTTGCTGCAACTTGCAATGCAACGTCACAAAAACATGCAGTACGCATGAGTTTTTCACCAGGGGCAGTAATACCTTATGCTGAAATAGTGAAATAAGTACCCAAATGTCAATGCATTCAAAGCCATATCAGTTAGATGCATGCTTATGGCTACCCCATACAGAATCATACATTCTGATTCACAAGATTATAAGCGCCATTTGGCTTATTAGGGAGTGGTCATTATTTATGGGAGGGGGGGGGAATGGGGAAAATAAGGATTGAAAACTTTTTTGACCCCCCTCCAGACTGAAGTCAAACTTTTTGTGCCCCCCCCCCACTCATAAAAGTAGAAACTTTTCTGATCCCCCGTTTTTTTTTCTTTTCTGATTACCGTGCGTTGCAGGTAAAGTTAGATATTAGTTTAATCTAGCTCATGATGTTTTGCCCTGGTGAATATGATTCAACTATCTATGGATTCAACCATATATGATCAAAAAATATATATTATGTGTTACTACTTTGCAATGCAGCATTTGTCCTACCTAACCCATGGCCCGTCTTCATACAGCGAAATGAGTTGAACACAAGGCTTTTTCTAAGAACTTGTCTGGGGGGTGGGCACCTACAATAAGGGACCATACTATACTGAGTGTGGAGAGATGACAGATGGTTGTTGGTGACAAAAAGTTTGGTGTGGTATCGTATGTACTAGTAGGTGGGCTGGGGGTATTCTCCCCCCGAAAATTTTTGGTATTTTTCCACCCCTAGGACTGAAATGTGAGCATTTTGTGAAACAGATTTTTGGATATGCAGCGTTACTTTGTGCTTTGATATACCGAATCTGATCAGTTAAGTGTACTTGCATGGTATGTTTATGTAAATACCACAACTGGGTCACTCGGAAGCTTGTTAAACTTAGTGGGCCCGACTCCCACGAGGCGCTACCATGGTTGGCGCCGAGCAGGGAAATTTTGAAAATTTTGAGTCTCTAGATTGTTGGAAATGGCATTTTCAGAGTCTTCTTTTTGCTATTATATTTTTGGAATCATTCAGCTGCATTTGTTCACCCCTAAATCGTCAAAACATTCGAAATTAGCCACCATGAGCAGAAACATATAACGGTGTCAACAATATGCATTATAACCTTGTGTTTGTTGGCAACTGCGCATGTCATGCATGGGAACATTTACCATCACAATCTCGCTCCCATAAGGCCTGGTTCACACCAACAAAGTTTCTGTGATCACAGTAGAAATTTTGCATAGGTAAGTTCTACAAGCGTAAAAATCTCACATCTTGTAACAAGTTTGTCAACAAGCTGTCAATAACTTGTCTTCGCACTGCTTGTCACAAGTTTGGAACAAGCTGTTAACAATTTGTAACAACCTTGTTAATATTATCAGACCTGGCGAGCTTGAAAAATATGCCCGGCCACGGTGGGAATCGAACCTACGACCTTTGGAATACTAGCCCAATGCTCTACCAACTGAGAGGTTCGATTCCCACCGTGGCCGGGCATATTTTTCAAGCTCGCCCGGTGTGGATATGCACTCAGAGTAACATCACAAACATCATATTCACCTGAGTACACAACATCAACACAGAAAAAAATATCATATTTTCAGACCTGTTGCAAGGTAGTTCCAACAAGTTCGATACAGTCATGACATAACAATATTGTAACAACCTTGTGTCGTCAACATTGTATAACATTCGTGTTTATCATGACTGTATCAGACTTGTTAGAACAACCTTGTGACAAGTCTGATAATGCAATCAACCTTGTTACAAGTTGTTAACAGCTTGTTGACAGCTTCTTACAACAACTGGGAACAAGCAGTGCGAACACAACTTGTCGACAGCGTATGAACAGATTTGTAACAACTTGTTTGCAGACTTGTAACAACTTGTGCGTTTTTACGTGTGTACACGCGTAAAAATCTCACAACTTGTAGCAAGTCTGTCAACAAGTTTTGTTCAACAAATTTGTAACGACCTTGTTTATATTATCAGACTTGTTGCAAGGTTGTTCCAACAAGTCTGCTACAGTCTTGATATAAGACCATATAACAATATTGTTCCAACCTTGTGTCATCAACCTCGCAACATTCTTGTTATATTATGACTGTATCAGACTTGTCAGAAGTCTGATGTCATCAAGCTTGTTACAACAACTGGGAACAACTTGTTGACAGCTTGTGAACAGATTTGTAACAACTTGTTTGCAGACCTGTAACAACTTGTGCGTTGTTGCGTGTGTGTGTTTTGAAAGATTTGTAAGAACTGTTTGTGGGAATTGACTCAAACACAGAATTAGTTCCCTCGAACATTTCTTACAAATCCTTCCAAACTTAGAATTTACCCACATGCAAAAAAATCCAACTGTGATCACAGAAACTTTAAAGCCTCAACTGTTTGTACATTTGAAATTGATTATGCATGGTTTCCAAACTTTCCAGTCAGAGTGAGAGGTAGTGGAACTAAACCTTGATTGGAGCTTGCTCTGTTATTTAACTCCTTGTATAATGATGTACTAAAGCTTATTAACTGAAACCCAACCTATTCTGTCTAACGTTAGACAATTTTAGGGAAAGTCTTTGGGCAGGAAAATTAGTTTCTATTCCAACTGTATTCATAAGCTATTTTAACTAAATTATATGGTGATTATAATAAACACCCCTGTGTGTCCTCTGCTGCATACTTTGCAGAATAAAACCGTGAATATCTCGCCAGGAAAACGAGTAAGTACCTGCGTATTACCACGAACTCTTAAAACTCTTCAACTCTTTCGAAAAGAACCTTTAAATTACGTACATGTTGTCAAAAAGGGGAAATTTGAAGAGGTTTCATTTGTAGCAAGATAAATTTTTATTCTGAACCCTACTGAGCAAAACAAACGGCGGAATTCGACAAATTGCTGGAGAACTTTATAATAAGTTACGGATCTTGACGCAAAACAATGAACATGATTGTATGGGAACGCGCGGGAGTGAAACGTCAGAGGTATGCTTTTAGTTTTTAACTTTTGGGGGAAGTTGTCGGGTTAATTTTGAACCAAAAATGGGACTTTACAACTGCAGTTGCTTATATAAAAGCAGGCAGGCAAGAGGTGAAATGCATTCACTCACTTGGAAAGTTGATTCACACACAACTGTTTGGGAAGATAAAGTTTTTTGGAAAGAAATCATGGCAGTTTTGTTTACAAAAAAACCCTCAGGTACTGTGCTCGTTACTCATTTTGAAGTGACTTGTTTCTAACTTTTGTATAGTCCCTACGTTCGCAGAGATAGGTTAGGTCTAAAATGTATAAACTTTACAACGTCGAGATTTCCATTTACAAAACATTTCATCATTAAGTTGTACCCAGTGAGATGCCCAAAGCCCCGATAGGTTTCATTGAGCACAAGAATTAGGACAAGCTTGGGTATAGTAAGGATTCATTAAATATGGAAATTAAAAATAACGTTGTTTTAACATTTCTTAGAAGCTACCTTAACAATCTTCATAATCTTTGCAATATGTGGTTGCTCTTCTGGACAATGTCTACGTAAAGATTACCAGAAAAGCCGTTGTGAGAATATGAATAAGGAACTTTCGAAAGGACAAAAACTTGTCAAAGACATGAAAGAATGTCTCGAAGGAGAGGTAAGGATTTTCAAAGTAAAGGCAACTTTATTTATACTGGATAGCTCTATCCAGAGATGTGAACTCATGTTCTTCCTAAAGGTCTAGTAACGTCTGCAATATTCCTGTTGAAAATGCTAACACTTAAATATTTTTCACATAGTGCATCACGATATATGGATTATTAAACGAGAGAGAATGCAAGGACCCGCCAAAGAAAGTCATTCCTGGATTTAATGCATTAAGGATTAACAAAACCTTAACAGTAAGATAAAACATATAAAACATTCAGCCAGGTTTTGGTACTACAATCTATATACTTATATTTGATTTTATAATTGCAGGTCGAAAACTTCCTGAAGGATATCGCAAAAAGAATTGTGATCCATATAATTCACAATAAAGATATCAGACAGCATTTTAAAAGTGTGAAATGTTCCAAGGAGACTAAACTGGTCAAGTATCAATTGAACAGAATGAAAAGCTGGATCACAATAACAGTAAGGAACAATTCCTATACCTCAGTTTAAATACGATCTTAATTCCAACCCGTGCAGTTAAGAGTGCAAAACACTTATCCTCATGGTCAAAATTAACCATTATATACCAACTTGATGCTTGTGATGTTACTCTGAGTGTACATCCACACCGGGCAAGCTTGAAAAATATGCCTGACCACGGTGGGAATCGAACCTACGACCTTTGGAATACTAGCCCAATGCTCTGCCAACTGAGCTACGTGATCACAAGCACCATATTCACCTGAGTACATTACACCAACACAGAAAAAAAATCATGATTATTACATTACATTGATATCGAAGGAACTAGATTCTGTTCCGAAATATCACATACTCGAACCGACCAGACCGCGTAGCTCAGTTGCATGGCAGAGCATTGGACTAGTATTCCAAAGGTCGTAGGTTCGATTCCCACCGTGGCCAGGCATATTTTTCAAGCTTGCCCGGTGTAGATATACACCCAGAGTAACATCACAAGCATCATATTCACCTGAGTACATTACACCAACACAGAAAAAATCATATACCAACTTACCACAATGGTTAGTAGTTCGCTTTTTTAAAGTTACTTTTAGTTCAGATGTATTCACTGAATTACACTATTTTCTCTTTTCAGCAACGAGAATTAGGTTTCTCAACCGTAATACAAGGTAGCCTGCCGCCAAAGCTTACTTCTACTGGAGCAAAGTCGTCCAAGGATTGGTACGATGTACAAATACAAATGTTGTTCAATCTCAGCTTGGATTTCAACGACATGCGAGGATATTTTCAAAGTTCAACAATGAACAAGAAAACATGCATCATTCCAGCATGTTAGGATTGAGGAGGAAACGTGCCACACTATTTTGAACACTTTTTATCGCTTGAATGATACTCATAGAACTTTTATATTTTAGTATTTCATTTATTGTAGTCACTGTATTTAACTTAACTTACAGCTACTTGTAGGATAACAGCTTATAGCTGAACACGTCTAAACGTGTATATACATTTAGATTAATAATAATAATAATAATAATAATAATAATAATAATAATAATAAAATAACCCAAAAGGTGAATTTGATATAAAACTGAAAACACGATCAGGTTTCAGATGGAAGTCAACCTCAGAACAATTCACATTTAGAAGAGCAAGAATTATAAACTATACCTCTCATTTTTATAATTATTTCCTCCAAATACAAAACTACTGCATAGAATGAAAAGAATTATTTTCTCCAGTGCTGGCGCATGCATGTCAGGCAGCGCAGTAGCAGCAGCACTGCCAGGAAATTTTAAACAAAATATCTTCACAGAAAATCTTCTGTATCATGCATGCAGGAAATTTCTGTCATCCTATATACAGGAATGCCATATAGTCTACTTATTGTTTGCAAAAGCGTTTTGCAAGCCGAGATTGGAGTTCATCACAATGTACGGCACCAGCCGTTCTCTGAAATCTACATATGCAGGAAGTTCTATATCTGACTTACAATGGAAATTTGTATTCTTGAAGAAAAATATATTTTCTAGGCCTGATTCTCTCACTCTGATAACTGCAGGTTGACCACCACCTGCTGCACGATAGTGTTTATAGTATTTTGGCTTTATATCGATCTGCATGCTTAGTTGAATAAGTGGGTTTTTCTTGCGATATAATATAAAGTAGATGCCGTGCATCAAATAAGTAATTTGGAAATAGTTTAGAATTTTTTGTTTTGTAATACTTAATACTTAATAAATAATAAAATAAATAATTCGCAAAAACGTATAATGATTTATTATCTGTCGTCTAATTTATAACACATTCGAGGTATAGTACATGTTCTTGAATGTTCTATCTTAAAGTGATCTGATGTTGTACAGAACTCACTGCATGCTGAGTTAAGCATGGTTAGATCATACAGAGGTAGTACATGTTCTTGAATGTGGGCTATCTTAAAGTGATCTGATGTTGTAGAGAACTCACTGCTGAGTTAAGTATGGTTAGATCATGCCATATAGAGGTAGTACATGTTCTTGAATGTGAGCTATCTTAAAGTGATCTGATGTTGTACAGAACTCACTGCTGAGTTAAGCATATAGTTAGATCATGCAGAGGTAGTATATGTTCTTGAATGTGAGCTATCTTAAAGTGATCTGATGTTGTAGAGAACTCACTGCTGAGTTAAACATGGTTAGATCATGCCATACAAAGTACATGTTCTTGAATGTGAGCTATCTTAAAGTGATCTGATGTTGTACAGAACTCACTGCTGAGTTAAGCATGGTTAGATCATACAGAGGTAGTACATGTTCTTGAATGTGGCCTATCTTAAAGTGATCTGATGTCGTACAGAACTCACTGCTGAGTTAAGTACTATTTAAAGCACGCGTAGGAGTGTTTTGTCAGATATAAAACGCGAGGCGCAGCCGAGCGTTTTATATCTGATAAAACACGACTACAAGTGCTTTAAATGGCTTAAAAAACGACCCATCTTCTGATGACTAAATTAGCAAAGTAATTTTTAAAATAAACTTTGTCTAAATCGAGAAAATCAAAGCTAAAGTTTATGTAAATTAACATGATTTTTTATCACATATAAAGATACGACACGCTTACGATTTTTCTTTGTGTTTTCCTCCTGAATTATTAATGCGTTTTTGAAGCATGGTTAGATCATACAGAGGTAGTACATGTTCTTGAATGTGAGCTATCTTAAAGTGATCTGATGTTGTACAGAACTCACTGCTGAGTTAAGCATGGTTAGATCATACAGAGGTAGTACATGTTCTTGAATGTGAGCTACCTTAAAGTGATCTGATGTTGTACAGAACTCACTGCTGAGTTAAGCATGGTTAGATCATACAGAGGTAGACTGCATGTTTTGAATAGTTAAGTAATTTTTTCTACTTTTTTCAATTATTTTCTTGATACTTCCTTAAAAACACGACATATAAATCCTTGCATTTCACAACCATACAGAACAAATTTAAGTAATAATTTAAGTAAATCGCAGTAATAAATTTACGTGGTGTTTTCACAAACAAAAAAATTATACTTTATCGCCATGCAAACATACAAAGAACTTATACAGAACATTTGAACAAGACTAAAGCTAAATTCATGCTAATTGGATCTCGTCAAAGAATAAATACTTTCACATTAGCAATTAATAACGTTCCAGTTAAGCATGCAAGTCCATCAGATAAGGACAAGATTTTTAACTGAGCGACCTGTTGTATTTTGACATGAGAGCAAGTGATTGTACGTCTGATACAACATCACGCGAAGTAAATCTATTCGCAGCTAACCATTCACCGACATCGGCATGATCTTCAATGTATGCATGATCAATGTCATAAATACTTGCGTACGTCAAGTCAAGTGAGTGTCATCCGCATACATACGTGCTCGAAAATGTGCAAGACAATGGACAACTTGCATGTTAGACTAAATTCTAATCTAAGCGAAGAGAAGGACATAAAACACAACAGTTAAAAAGAAAATAATGATATTAGTAAAACTGCAAAATTTGGTTGCGAAATGTTGTAAAATGCAGAAAATATAGCCTTGCGAAGTTTGCATATTTTCAGTATATTTGTATTACGTGCGGAAATCGTTACCATTTTCGGCTCAAAAATGGTAACAATTTCCGCACGTAATATACAAACATACTGAAAATATGCAAACTGCGCAAGGCTATATTTTCTGTATTTTACAACATTTCGTAACCAAATTTTGCAATTTTACTGATTTTAATAAGTTCTTTACGGGAATTTACTTTTTTTGTGTAAATCAAAAATTAGTCTAACATGCAAGTTTTCTATTAACGGACCGTTTTCCACTTCGCCCGTATCGCACCGTAACGTACCGGTGAGCATGCGCAGATTGAAAAGAGGTTGATAAATCCATATGCTTGCGGTGTATTCGCGTATCAAAATGACAAGTTCGTCGCAAGTCAACTTTTTGGCGTACTACGGAAGTACTAACCAATCAACATTCACTAAATTTTGAAATTTGAAAATGTGTCTGATTCGTTTTAAACGAAAAACGGACTTTAGGATGTATACAACCTCGTTCCCAGGGCTTTCGTATGAGGACGAGGGGAGAGACGAGAAAGCCCTGGTCTGGTCAATTTTGCATTCTGATTGGCTAACACGATTTGTCTAAAAATAACTGAACTTGACTGACCAGGGCTTTCTCGTCTCTCCCCTCGTCCCCATATGAAAGCCCTGGGAACGAGGTTGGGATGCATATAAAGCGTATGAGGCAGGGGGAGAAGGGGGGGGGGGTGGAGGGGCTACATCCCCTCCCCAGAAATATCTCCGAAAATCGGTATATGTAAACACTATAACACCTTGTCACTCTAAATATTCTCAAATAAAATACTAATCAACTACGTAAGCTACAAGCAGTGTGCCGAAATGTCGTGTTTCTACTTCAATAGACCTTTCCCCTTTTGAGTGAAATTTTGATCTAGACAAGCCTGGACAAAAATTTCATCACAGCTCGAAAGAGCATCACCAAATTAGTAATGTTCCGAAGTTTGGTTGCGAAATGTTGTAAAATGCGGATAATACAGCCCTGCGAAGTTTGCCGTTTTTCAGTCATTTTGTATTACAAACGGGAAATTGGTAATCAGATGATCAAAATGACTGAAATACAAAATGACTGAAAAACGGCAAACTTCGCAAGGCTATATTATCCGCATTGTACAACATTTCGCAACGAAACTTTGGAACATTACTAATTTTGTGATGCTCTTTCAAGCTGTGATGAAATTTTTGTCCAGGCTTGTCTAGATCAAAATTTCACTCAAAAGGCGAAAGGTCTATTTAAAGACTAATATTATGATTTTATGAACTGATAACTTGAGTGATACGGACCGTTAGAAAAAACTGGAATTAATTGGGAAGATTGTGTTAAAACTGTTTACAACCTTCATAGAGTTGGACGTCAATGGCCGCCATCTTGGCTTCACTTTTCTCAGCCGAATGACTGATATACAGGGTGTCTCAAAAAAAACGCTACGGAAGTTCAACAGACTGTTGTGCATCACAAACTTAACTAAACAGTTTAATTTTTACATAGGACGAAAGAGCTATTATTTAGCTTTTCTATGATACCTTTCTTAAACCGTAACAATGAGAAATGGCCACATACTCGTCAAATAAAAATTGTCGGTCGAAATCACATTCTTCCACCGTTGGGAATTGAAAGTATACATTAATTATGCAAAGTTAATCAATCCAAAAGCAACGCAAGCCTTCTGCAAGGTACTTGTTTCGTAAAACGTTTTGATTACGAATGTTCTCTGTTCAGTGGTTAATGGAACCATGTTTAATGCAATAGTTCTTATGGTCTCACTGAGACAAAGATGGACGAGTTGAGCTTATTTTAGATAATTTAACATTCAATTTTAATTCCCTCTTGGGAATTGTTTATTGTTCGTTTTCCTTGCAACTCCCAACGGTCGAAGAATGTGATTTCGACCGGCAATTTTTATTTGGCGAGTATGTGGCCATTTCTCATCGCTACGATTTTAAAAGAGTATCATTGAAAAGCTAAATAACTGTTCTTTCGTCCTATGTAATTGTTTAGCCACGTTTAAGATGCACGACAGCCTGTTGAATTTCCGTAGCGTTTTTTTTTTGAGACACCCTGTATATTCCAGATATATATATATTATATAATATAGAGCTCACTGGGTCTATACTGGCTCAATACTGATGTACTGACCTTATCTTAAGACGTTTGTTTGGCGGCAAATACTTCCCATACATATGCGATGAACATGCATAGTTCAGCATGCTTTGCCCGTCGTTCCTGTAAGAACCAAGAATCAATACATTTGAAGTTGATTACGTGTAGGACCATACTAAACACTGAACAGGCACACAATGTATTCTGTCTAACGTCAGACGATTTTAGGGAAAGTCTTCGAGCGGGAAAATTAGTTTCTATTCTAGTTGTATTCATAAGCTATTTTCACTAAATTATTGAATGTCGACGATAAGTATCTTTTTGAAACAAGTCCTGATGCATACCTCACAGAAAACATGAATTTTTCGCCAGAAAAACGAGAAAACGCTGCCATGCATATTTACTGTAGTTAGTAACCAGCAAAGAGTTTTCCGAAAACAAGCTTTAAATGAAGTAAGTGAGGTTTGATAAAGAAGTTTAAAAAGGTTTCATCTTTGTAAAATAAATTCTTATTGTAAACCCTACTGAGCAAAACAAACCAACGGAATTCGACAATTTGCTAGAAAATTTGTATAATAAGTTTCGGATCTTGGCGAAAAACAATGAAAATTATCTCCATAAATGCATGGGAAGAGGCAAAAATTAAAGTCAGAGGTACGGTTTTAGTTTTTAGCTCCTCTGTCTAACGTCAGACGATTTTAGGGAAAGTCTTCGGGCGGGAAAATTATAGTTTCTATTCTAGTTGTTTTCATAAGCTATCAGTTTCACTAAATTATTGAATGTCGATGATAAGTATCTTTTTAAAACAAGTTCTGATACATATCTCACAGAAAACATGAATTTTTCGCCAGAGAAACGAGAAAACGCTGCCATATTTACTGTACAGTTAGTAACCAGCAAAGAGTTTTCCGAAAACAAGTTTTAAATGAAGTAAGCGAGGTTTGATAAAGAAGTTTAAAAAGGTTTCATCTTTGTAAAATGAATTCTTATTGTGAACCCTACTGAGCAAAACAAACCAACGGAATTCGACAATTTGCTGGAAAATTTGTATAATAAGTTTCGGATCTTGGCGAAAAACAATGAAAATTATCTGCATCAATGCATGGGAAGGGGCGAGAATTGAAGTCAGAGGTATGGTTTTAGTTTTTATCTCCTTTTGGGAAGTTGTGGAGGCAATTTTCGGCCAAAAATGGGATTTTACAACTGCGGCTGTTCCCATGAACGTGAGTATAAAAGGCGGCAGGCCAGTGGTGAAAGGCATTCGTTTGAAAAGTTCATTCACTCACAACCAAGTTTGGAAAGAAAAAATCATGGCAGTCTTAAAGAAAATGACAGGTATTGCAATTATTACTCCTGTTGAAGAGATTTTGGATTGAAAATAATGATATAACTAAAATTTCTATAAACTATACAGTCTGTATACGCAGGGAGGTTTCACTCTCGTTGGTGGACAACCTGCATTTATCAGAATGAGAAAATGTTCTTTTCATTCTATGTAGTAGTCTTGTATTTGAAGGCAAATTAGAAATAGAATTGAGAGCTGTAGTTTAATTTTCTTGTCCCTACAATTAACCACTGTCTTCCGCCCTCAACCCGTTAGAAATAACATTTACATCAACAGGGTTCGTGGTCTCCAAGACCAAAAAAATTCGAAGACTTTCAAAGATTTTTGCTGCCTATTTTCAAGGACTTTTCAAAGATCTTTGAGAGCAATCAGCTGTCGAAAAATTGCAAGTGTAAGCAACATTTTTACCCAGTGATTAGTCCCGTCAAATCACATCCTAAAATGCACCTTTTCGTCGATATTTGCGAAAATCTTGCTTCAATCAATCTATTTTATCAGCTAGGAAATCGTATAATCAAATACTCACTAAAGAATTCAAAGGCTTTTAAAGACTTTCTTCGCTTTTTCACACAATTCAAAGACTTTTCATAGACCTTAAAGACATGGGGCCGGTTGTATAAAACTCTTAATCACTCTTTTAATCACTATTTTGTAGCTAAATAGTGATTAACTCTCAAATACGCGCTTCTTATTGGATGACGTTTCCACTAACTATAGTTAACTTTAATCACTGTCAATGGTATACGATCAGTCGTGTCGTGTAGATAGGTCATGTGACTATCTGACAATTACGTCACAAGGATAAGATTTGGGATTAACTTTATGGTAATCGTAGGGGCAGGGATTAGGATTTTACTATATGGAAATTGACAAAAATTTTGTTTTACTTAGAGGTTACCTTTATCGTTACAATCATCATAATCTTTGCAACACATGATTATTCCTTTGGACAATGTCTAAAAAAACATGTTCAGAAACGTAGATGTCGGAATATGAATAATGAACTAGAGAAAGCACAAGGACTTGTCAACAACTTGACACGATGCCTCAAAGCAGAGGTAAGGATTATCAAGGTTAAGGCAACTTTATTTATACTGGATAGCTCTATCAGTTCTAAACTGGTCTTCCTAGAGGTCCAGTAAGGATCATCTCTTATTGATCCAGTGTTACTACAGGAGGAAACCTAAACTAAACTAACTTTATTTACACTGGATAGCTCTATCAGTTCTAAACTGTTCTTCCTAGAGGTCCAGTAAGGATCATCTCTTATTGATCCAGTGTTACTACAGGAGGAAACCTAAACTAAACTAACTTTATTTATACTGGATAGCTCTATCAGTTCTAAACTGTTCTTCCTAGAGGTCCAGTAAGGATCATCTCTTATTGATCCAGTGTTACTACAGGAGGAAACCTAAACTAAACTAACTTTATTTATACTGGATAGCTCTATCAGTTCTAAACTGTTCTCCCTAGAGGTCCAGTAAGGATCATCTCTTATTGATCCAGTGTTACCACAGGAGGAAACCTAAACTAAACTAACTTTATTTATACTGGATAGATCTATCAGTTCTAAACTGTTCTTCCTAGAGGTCCAGTAAGGAATATCTCTTATTGATCCAGTGTTACTACAGGAGGAAACCTAAACTAAACTAACTTTATTTATACTGGATAGTTCTATCAGTTCTAAACTGTTCTCCCTAGAGGTGCAGTAAGGATAATCTCTTGCTGATCCAGTGTTACTACAGGAGGAAACCTAAACTAACTTTATTTATACTGGATAGCTCTATCAGTTCTAACCTGTTCTTCCTATAGAGGTCCAGTAAGGATCATCTCTTATTGATCCAGTGTTACTACAGGAGGAAACCTGAACTAAACTAACTTTATTTATACTGCATGCATGGATAGCTCTATCAGTTCTAAACTGTTCTTCCTAGAGGTCCAGTAAGGATCATCTCTTATTGATCCAGTGTTACTACAGGAGGAAACCTAAACTAAACTAACTTTATTTATACTGGATAGCTCTATCAGTTCTAAACTGTTCTTCCTAGAGGTCCAGTAAGGATCATCTCTTATTGATCCAGTGTTACTACAGGAGGAAACCTAAACTAAACTAACTTTATTTATACTGGATAGTTCTATCAGTTCTAAACTGTTCTCCCTAGAGGTGCAGTAAGGATAATCTCTTGCTGATCCAGTGTTACTACAGGAGGAAACCTAAACTAACTTTATTTATACTGGATAGCTCTATCAGTTCTAAACTGTTCTTCCTATAGAGGTCCAGTAAGGATCATCTCTTATTGATCCAGTGTTACTACAGGAGGAAACCTAAACTAAACTAACTTTATTTATACTGGATAGCTCTATCAGTTCTAAACTGTTCTTCCTAGGGGTCCAGTAAGGATCATCTCTTATTGATCCAGTGTTACTACAGGAGGAAACCTAAACTAAACTAACTTTATTTATACTGGATAGCTCTATCAGTTCTAAACTGTTCTTCCTAGAGGTCCAGTAAGGATCATCTCTTATTGATCCAGTGTTACTGCAGGGGGAAACCTAAACTAAACTAACTTTATTTATACTGGATAGTTCTATCAGTTCTAAACTGTTCTTCCTAGAGGTCCAGTAAGGATCATCTCTTATTGATCCAGTGTTACCGAAGTATCTGGAGACATGCAACCTGCTGTGTTTGCTAGAGTCAAACTGGAAGCATTCTTCTCACATGTGACTGAGGTGAAATTATGAGACAAATATTGCAGGAATCAAACCTCGGTCACAGAGATGAACGACACTGACCACTAATACGAATATACCATGATACCAGACTAGCAATAGTCTGAGACTAGCAGTATATCACTAGTACCAAGCACTATTGTGCGGCAGATGGTGGTCATTGGTCAACCTGCAGTTTATCAGAGTGAGAAAATAATGTTCATTCTTTTCATTATATGGAGTAGTCTCTGGATTTGGTGGCAACTAAATAAAATTGATGTAATTTTCTTGCCTCTATAACAACGGTGTCAACATTTTTCTGAAGTTGCTTGACACCATATAAACCATTATTCAAACCAAACAATACAAATTGCCATACTTTCAACAATATACACATTTTTAAGACACATTTAAAACACAAGCAGACCCCAAAGATAAAACAAATCCTACCTTTTGACTGCCAGGCGTATCCGTCTGTAGAAACATGGAAGGACTCGCAGACAAGGCGGGCAAATTTAGCCGGCCATCCGTCCCACTGTCGAATGGATTTTTTGTCAAATTTAAATTCGAAATAGTCGAGCAATCGTCTAAGGTGCTGCTCAGAGTCGCAAAGGACATTGCCAAATCGCTATAAGTTGATATATTTTGTATTTTTCTACAATATTTTACAAAAAACTAAGCTAACTATTATTCTGTATCGACTATAAATTCTATCTATGTATTTGAGTTTTGAATTAACCGCTTTGGAACAGTATTAAAGTAAGGAGAAACTACACTTTAATCAATAGATTAATGCCCTTACAATTTGGAATATAATCTTACTGTTTTGGTAAATAAGTACAAATGAATGTAAATGTAGTAGAAAATATCACTGTTTATCTTTTATGAATGGAATATATAAGTTTAATATTTTAAAACTAAAGTTAAATCATATTTTAATGTTATCAAATGCTATATTCTCTTTACAAGGTATGAATAAAGATTATTCTACTTATGTTTCCACTTTGGCGGAAAATTCAGAAATTTCTTCTTTGAAATTCAAGATGGCGGAGCCCTCAGACAGCGGTTCAAATATAAAATCGGCAAGAGAGACTATAGAAGGTTTGAAATGAGGTTTTTCTTGTTTATTTTATGAAATATCTGTACTGGCGATTATTGTACACAAGATTTAGGCTCCAAAGTTGTATAATTTTTGTGTGTTTGTCCAAAAATAATGGCTATAAAGTGTCGAGATTTTGAGTTAATATTTAATAAAAAATACACAATTATGATGTGTTTGTTACGGTAGAAGGTACGTTCAGTACTTTCTAGCTGTGATAAACTTCACGTTTTAATGATGCTGTAGTAGTATTACAGTATATTCCTTTATACTGGTCATTACAGAATGTACAAAATCTTGCGGAAATTGTCAAGAGGTCTGGTAACGAGTGATTTACACTACACAACGTTTGTCTAAAACTGTCGCATGCAACCTGCTTACAACTCGAGTTGTACTGTGTAAATCAAGCACACAACTTTAAGAATCTTGTGTTTTGTCATATGTGCTGAAGATTCCACAAACTGACACAAGTTTTTAATCTAGTCCCCCCCTGCAATCTGACCTGTTGTAGTGTTGAAGGCAAAAACGTTGTTTGCTTATTAAGCTCCCTATTCTAGTCTCTGGATGTGGTTACCTAATCAATATTCTTCCTGTATCTCTAGTGTTGATGGAAATGAGTAACTTATTAAACACTGGTTTGGATTCTGAGACGCTTGTGTTGTGTGTGAAACTCTGTGAGGCTGGAGTGAACCCCGAGGCCTTGGCGTCTGTTATCAGAGAACTGAGACGAGAGAGCGCTGCAGTTAAGGTAAAGCAATGCACTGACTGATGCCACAGACAGATCTGTCTATCGCCCGTAATCTAAAAGCTCACTCACACTCAATGAGTGGAGGTTCAATCTGAGCTTCTCTTGAGTGTTAATGCTGTTTTTGAATAGCTGGAGGGTTAGTGTCATACCTTACTATGTGACTACTAACCCTCCAGCTATTCAAAAACAGCATTGACACTCAAGAGAAGCTCAGATTGAACCTCCACTCATTGAGTGTGAGTGAGCTTTTAGAATACGGGCGTATGTGTATAAATTTCGCCTAGACTATTTTATCTTTATATTACAACAATTGTGATATTACTTTCTTAACTGTGTTTATCCTAACCCACCCTGTCAGCTTTCCCTGTGGGATGAAACCAGAGCACCCGGAGAAAACCCAGACTCTTTTCACATAGCGAGAATCAAACCCACCATCTCAGAGGTGAGAGGGGCTTGCGTCACCGAAGCCCTATTTTGACTATTAGTATTAGACTTAAATTCATGAATCCCAAATGTTTGACAAAAATTGTCTATATTTTTTAGGCTAACGAACAAAGCAAATAACTCAGTCAATTACTAGACCAGACAGCCGTTGAGAAATGAAACTTTGTAAAAGAGAATCAGATGTAAATAGATAGTTATTCTAAGTATTAAATAAAACATTTTTCAACTTTACCTTGTATCCACTTGTATTGAAGCTTTCTGGCGAAAGGCAAGTCTCTTTTTGCTTGTTGCTGCTTTTTTAAAACGGAAAGGCCGCTTCACACTACACAATTTTTGCCTGAAACTGTCGCATACAACCTGCTTACAACTTGAGTTGTACTGTGTAAATCAAGCATACAACTTACTTACGTTGTCGTAAACAACACCTGCATGAATTAGGGAGAGGGCAGTCGTTCGTTTTTACCGTTCTCTCGTCTTCTATATCAAAACTACTAATAATGTAGCGCATACATTATCACAACAGAAATACCAACCATAATTTGTACAGCTCAAGTGTTACCTATACATGAACGATTAAATCTCTTCAATTTTTAATAAAAATTTACACTGTGCACTTTGTTAACTTAATATTTTCGTAAATTCAATATTCTTTCCCAAAAGTAAAGGCTTAACAATCATGTTTCATTACATGTTAAAAATGATCATATCATATAACACTCGCAGTATTTCAGTTTTTACTGCATGTTTTCAACGATTACCGCCATACCTTGTCCGCCACCAATACAAGCAGAGCCGACAGCAAGCTTACCGCCAGTACGTCGTAATTCATGAACTAAATGTGTCGTAATCCTTGCTCCAGATGAAGCCAGAGGATGGCCCAAGGCGATGGCACCTCCATTCACATTTGTTTTATCAGTGTTTAAGTCCAGTTCTTTTATCACTGCTAATGTCTGCGCAGCAAAAGCTTCGTTTACCTACATACAAGGAATATAAACATGCTTTATTTATACTGGATAGCTCTATCAGTTCTAAACTGTTCTTCCTAGAGGTCCAGTAAGGATCATCACTTATTGATCCAGTGTTACTACAGGAGGAAACATAAACTAAACTAACTTTATTTATACTGTACTCGATAGCTCTATCAGTTCTAAACTGTTCTTCCTAGAGGTCCAGTAAGAGTCATCTCTTATTGATCTGGTGTTACTGGGGTTTCCTCCGAGTCCCTCCCAACACAGCCCCCGCCTCCTACACAACCTACCTCAATGAGGTCCATATCATCCAATGTCTTTCCAGCACGGCTCAGAGCTCCCTTAATAGCAGGAACTGGCCCAATACCCATGATCGATGGCTCCACACCGGAAGTAAAGTACGACACAAGACGAGCCAATGGCGTGAGGCCATGTTCCCTCACCGCTTTCTCACTGGCTAAGACGAGGGAGGCCGCACCATCACATATACCCTGGAGAGAGATTGTGATGATTCAAATTATAGTAGAAACATATCTCAACCGTCATGAGGCGTCATCTGTCTGATGTATCATCATTTATCTCTCAAACATTTTGTTTTGAACAGACAAACTATACTAGCAATGGCTCTGGGGACAAATATCCTGGGGCCAGTTGTTCAAAGCTGTGTTAGTTTAACCCTAGGTTAACCTAAAATTCAAAGCAAACTTGCTGACAGCTTGTCTATAAATTTGGAAATATTTCTTCAGAGATCTTGTCTGGATCGATAGTTTACTTCTCTGAAGTTTTGAAATAAACAGACGTGCAGAAATACACAAACTAAAACAACAGATTAAATTTTAATCCAGGGTTAGCGCTAACCCAATGCTGTATTTAGACACATGCATAGACGAAGGGCCTTCGCTCGAAACGTCGAGTTTCTGCTTATTTTTTAAGGTAGTAATATATCCACTCAGCACATCATCTGTCAAGACAATCTCCAGTGTTACCACAGGAGTAGCCACATGAGGAAACTGCAGTACCTTGAGAAAACCTGCTGTGTTTGTTAGAGTCAAACTGGAAGCACTCTTCTCCCATGTGACTGAGGTGAAATTATAATGAGACAACTGTATATTGCAGGAATCAAACCTCAGTCACAGAGACGAAAGATACATGGATTGACCACTGTGTCAACAACACTGCAAATCACTACAACAAATTCTCAACCTACCGATGCATTTCCAGCAGTAACAGTACCATCTTTCTTAAACACAGGAGGCAGTTTAGCCAGACTTTTCATGTCTGTGCCAACACGCGGATGTTCATCGATGCTGAAATCTTCCTCGCCCTTGCGACCTTTCACCTTTACTGGAGATATCTCTGCTTCAAATGCTCCTGATTGCTGAGCTGTGAACACACAACGGTTATCAGAGTGAGAAAATAATCTCAATTCTTTTCATTCTATCTAGTAGTCTGAAGACTTAAATGCATTAAAATGCATGCGCTCATACGCCATATCTTGTAAAGATACTGCTGAAGATGAATCAAAATAGATTCGAAATATACAGTTTTTTAAAATACAGCTAGTAGATGTGTTCAAAAGACTTGTATTTAGTGGAAAATATTAAGTATAGAATTGAGAGATGTACATAGTTTAACCTATTTAGTTGCATTGTGCCATAATGCCCATGTCTAGAACTGAATTTATAATACTGATCATGTTAACAAAAAGCCAAAATACCATTTGCCCATCTTGTCTGTGACTCGAGTGCAAACCGATCACAATCCTCCCGTGATAAGTTATATTTCTCAGCAAGATTTTCTGCCGTGATCCCCATTGGAAGTTTACAATAACTGTCTGTTAAACCTGACCATAATGTGTCTTCCATCTGTGGATGTGTGTAAAATACTTAATATTAAAAGACAGGATCATTTCTGAAATGTTCTTCCTAGAGGTGCAGTAAGGATCATGTCTTATTGATCCAGTGTTACTACAGGAGGAAACCTAAACTAAACTAACTTTATTTATACTGGATAGCTCTATCAGTTCTAAACTGTTCTTCCTAGAAGTCCAGTAAGGATCATCTCTTATTGATCCAGTGTTACTACAGGAGGAAACCTAAACTAAACTAACTTTATTTATACTGGATAGCTCTATCAGTTCTAAACTGTTCTCCTTAGAGGTCCAGTAAGGATCATCTCTTATTGATCCAGTGTTACTACAGGAGGAAACCTAAACTAAACTAACTTTATTTATACTGGATAGCTCTATCAGTTCTAAACTGTTCTTCCTAGAGGTCCAGTATGGAAAATCTCTTAAAATTGATCCAGTGTTACTACAGGAGAAAACCTAAACTAAACTAATTTTATTTATACTGGATAGCTCTATCAGTTCTAAACTGTTCTTCCT